CAAAAAGAATTTTGCAAAAGGCCAAATTTACGTCGCTCTTAGTCGTGTCAAAAGTTTAGATGGTTTAGCTCTATCTGATTTAGCACCAAACAAAGTCCTCGTTAAACCGCATGACGAAAGAGCACTCGCAGAAATGCAAAGATTACGACGGTTACTTTTGCAAAGAAACAGTCCAAATTAGCTTCCAGCGACTGATACCTGAAGAAGGAAGCCAACCCTTCTCTTAGCGACCAACTGGTAGAGAAAATGACCAAGTCTATTTTTTTTTTTTTTTCATTTCATTTCATTTCACGGATAATGTTGAAAAGTCGCAATCGGTATATTCCCTGTAGAGTAAACGTCGAAAGAAAAAAAAATATAAATGATGCCGTACATTTTCTTGAAATAAAAATTGGCAGGAATGAAAAAATCCAAAATATTTTTTTTATAGGACTATTAGGGAATTATACTCTATAAGACGCAAAAAGTTTCGTTCCGATTGATCCATCCGTCTCGAAGTAACCGACGAACGTATACCGCACGTACATCAAATAGTACGTTTTTTGCAATAAAAAGCGTTCGGAATGAAAAAATGCTAAATTTTTTTTTAGCGGGACCAATCGGGAGACATACTCTGCCAGATGCAAAAGGTTTCGATCCGATTGGTCCATCCGTCTCGACGTAATCGGTGAACATAAAAAAAAAATAAATAAATAAAAAAAAATATAAAAAAAATACATACACATCGAATTGAGTATCCTCCTCCTTTTCGAAGTCGGATAAAAACCGTTACCATCATTAAATGAAAGATTCTCGTGTTCGTGTTCCGAGAAACCAACACCGCTGGAAAGTGATTTCCACATTGTGTTTGTGTCAGAAACAATTAAAGAATTGACGCGCTTGTCAAGTGACTTTATTTAAATACACGAATTTAACAAGTACGTTTGCTCGCTTAATCCCGCCTCGACGTCCAAGTCCTTGCTTAGCCGTGAACCATCGGCCGATTGTGCTTCAAGTCGTGAAAGTGCATTCAACTCTTTCCAAGCCTTTACAAATTTGGTCCTTCGAGCCGGATCTGGAATCGAGGAAAAAATCGTTAGTCGTCAAGCGCCATGAGTACCCTTGAAGAATTGTTTCAAAAGCAAACGCAAACCATGCGCTCAATAGAACGAGCTCTCGCCAACTTCAAAAAATTGGGGCTGTCTAAAATGACCACAGCGACCACGCAAAATCGCATGGCGATGTTGAAGGAGACGTATCTCCAAAGTCAAGAATTGGACGCCAAGATCGCCGCTGGGATCGACCCGAAGACCAAATCCAACATGCCGTATTTCGTTGACAATCAATTCGAGAAGTCCGAGGAGCGGTATCAAGAGACTCTGGATTACATGGCGGAGGTTCTTGCCAAGGTCGCAGCTCCACTAGAGCCATCAGCCAGCAACACGGGAATTTCAAATCCGATGACGTCAAAGCCAACGGCCCACCTTCCGAAGCTACAGTTGCCGACCTTCGATGGAGCGTTCGACGAGTGGGAGACTTTCCGTGACCGTTTCACCTCCATGGTAATAAACAATCTTTCTTTGTCGAACGTGGAACGTCTCCATTTTTTGTACGCCTCGTTGATAGGCGAAGCGAGCCGAGCCGTTAAACATCTCCCGGTCACCGAAAACAATTTTGAAGTCGCGTGGAAGACGATAACAAACGAAAATAAACACCGGTTAATTTCAACCCATTTAAACACATTGTTTTCGTTACCGTCTGTTTCGTCGGAAACACTGCATGACCTCCGATTGTTACGCGACAAAATGAATATGTCCCTTCAAATGCTCCGAAATTTAAATATACCGGTTGACGCTTGGAGCGATTTGCTTGTTTTTATGGGAGTTCAAAAATTAGATCGAGCTTCGCGGAAAGCCTGGGAATTTCAACTTAGCGATGTTATCGAATTCCCCACCTATACCGAATTTGATACTTTCTGTGAGAAAAGAATCCGCGTCCTAGAAGCGTTACCGGTGACTAAGCGCGAAAAAACAACCGAAACCGAAAAAATCAAACCGGGCAAATCTAAGCCGATTGCCGCCCACTCAACAACCTCCGTGAAAATAACATGTTCGGTCTGTCAACAATACCATTTAATTTACCAATGTACAACATTTCTTTCAAAATCGACATTCGAACGTTACAATTTTATCAAACATCAGAAACGATGCGTTAATTGCTTTTCTACAAAACACTCGGTTACGCAATATCCGAGTCCGCGTTCGTGTAAGGATTGCAATCAACGGCATAATACTCTGTTACACTTTCCAACAAAACCGGATGGCGCGCCCTCAACCAAAAGGGGTGCCGCGTCGTCTGCCTCAGGAGAAGGAGTGACCACCCCCGATCATGAAGTCGAGATAAGTGCGAACGTTGCGTCCGATACACCAATTAATTCAAGTATTCTGCTCTCAACAGCTCGCGTGCGAATCCACTTGCACACAGGCCGGAGCGTCCTGGCTCGCGCGTTGCTGGACCAAGGCTCCGCGGTGACGCTAATCACCGAGCCGTTAGCGCAACTGCTCCGCCTCCACCGAACGAGGCAACACACTCGAATTACCGGAATCGGAGGAATTCAGTCGCAATCCAACCACGTTGCTGAAATAACAGTTACGCCAGCCAAATTGAATGAACCTGCATACTCCACAACCGCAATCATCATGCATTTTTTAACCAGGTACGTGCCTTCACAAAAAGGCGCAATCACTAATTGGTCTCACCTTGCAGAATTGAATTTGGCGGACGAGGACCCCATGAGCGCGGATCCTATCGACGTTATCATCGGAGCCGATTTGTACGGGCAACTCCTACTGCCGGGAGTGAAAAAGGGTTTCGCGTACACTCCCACTGCTCAGAATACGGTGCTAGGGTGGATCCTCTCCGGTCCGGTACAATCCTCCATTCACGTCTCCGTCGGTATCAACCATATCTCCGTCCTGGAGGACCTCGACCAAGATCTGCGGAGATTCTGGGAAATCGAGGCCCTCTCCTCTCCCATTCTCATGACGCCTGAAGATAAAAATTGCGAATTACGCGCATCACGCGCATCAAACGGACGCTATATAGTTCGATTGCCTTTCAAAACCGAACCTCCAGCTAAATTAGGAGAATCGCGGCCCGGAGCACTACAAAGTTTCTGCGCGCTTGAAAGACGGTTATCTCGCGACACAGCCACACTTCGAATGTATCGCGAATTCCTTTCAGAATACGCCTCTTTCGGTCACATGAAGACAGCCGATCCTCTTCCTCCAATCACGAGAGATTGTTATTACATACCGCATCATGCCGTCTTCCGCGAGAGCAGTGAAACTACTCGCCTTCGCGTGGTCTTTAATGCTTCGCGCCGATCGTCGAATGGAAAGTCCTTAAACGACCTTCTTCTAACCGGACCAAAACTCCAGCAGGATCTTGTCGCGATCTTGATTAGATGGCGTCAATTTCAATTCGTGTACACCGCGGATGTTGAGAAAATGTATCGCCAGATTCTTATTGACCCGCGAGATCTCGACTACCAAAGAATACTGTGGCGGGACTCGCCCCTCCTACCAGTAGAAGAGTATCAACTCCTCACGGTCACATATGGGACCGCTCCAGCTCCGTATTTGGCTCTTCGCGTCTTGCAACAATTAGCCGAGGATGAGGACTCGCCCTATCCCGAAGCGGTTTCCGTTCTTCGCGAACAATCCTATGTCGATGACTTCCTCTTCGGAGGCGATAGCCTCGAGTCCGCTCGCCAATTGCGAGACCAAACCGTTGAACTATTAGGAAAAGGCGGCTTCTCGTTAAGAAAATGGGCTAGCAATAGCTCTGCGCTCCTGTCCGACATCAACCCTCAAAACCACGGACTCGCGACGAGTAAATCATTAAAAGCCGACGAAATCATTTCCGTGCTCGGCATTACATGGAATCCAGCATTAGACCAGTTTCACTTTAAATTAGCAGTACCCACCGAATTGCCTAAGACAAAACGAACAATTCTTTCTACCATAGCAAAGCTCTTCGATCCCTTAGGTTGGATCGCGCCAGTCATCATTGTAGCAAAAATATACCTTCAGACTTTGTGGTCCAGTCAATGTGATTGGGACGACGTCCTTCCAAGTTCCCTTCTCTCGAAGTGGCATAATTTTTACGATCAACTGCCTGATTTGGAACATATCTCCATCCCACGAAAAATTTCTCCGCAAATCATTAAAACTCAAAGCCATGGGTTTTCTGATGCCTCAACGAAAGCGTACGCGGCTGCTGTTTACTCGCGAAGTGTTTTGTGTGACGGTACCGTTAGCATATCACTCATCCTTGCCAAAACTCGCGTAGCTCCACTCAAAACGATCAGCGTGCCCCGATTAGAATTATGCGCCGCGTTGCTTCTGGCTCGCCTCTTAAAATTCGTTCGAATCGCGTTAAATCAGGAAACGATCGAATCCCACTGTTGGACCGACTCCAGTGTCACATTAGAGTGGGTAAATCAACCACCGACTCGATGGAAAACCTTTGTCGCAAACCGCGTAGCGCTTATTCACGAACTTAGTCCTAACGCATAGTGACATCACGTATCAACCCACGAAAATCCCGCCGACTGCGCGTCTCGCGGGATGTCTATTAAACAATTAAAGGATTACCAATTATGGTGGTCCGGTCCTCAGTGGCTGCACCAGGAATCCTCTTGGCTTCATGCGTCTTCTAACCCGATTCCTGCGATCTCGCTCGAAGAAAGACAATCTTCTCTTCCTAGCCTCAGTACCTCTTTCGAACAGTGGGATTTAGCAGCGCGCTATTCGTAATGGTCAAAACTCCTGAGGATCACCGCACATTTACTGCATTACATAGACATCCTTCGCGCACGAATCAAAAGAAAACAGGAAAGTAAACTCACCGAATCGAAAACAGTAGCTTCTGCTTCGCAAAACGTTCTGAAGCTCACCGCGATTCACAAAGCTCGCGTATTTTGGCAACGTAGGCTCCAAACCGACGCGTTCCCGGAGCAATTGAGAGCCCTAAGAGCATCCAAGCCGATCCCGAGGACAAGTCCTCTACTTTCTCTCGTACCGTACCTGGATGCTGACGGTTTAATACGTGCAAAAGGGCGCCTTGCTAAATCTCAACTCGCTGAAAATGCAAAAATACCCATTATCCTTCAATCACACCCGCTCCTAACATTGTTAATTGAGAATGCGCACCGTAATCTATTACACGCGGGACCCAAGCTCACGCTCGCCTACCTACGAAATGATTTTTGGATCGTACGAGCACGAGCTACCATTCGAGGCATTTTATATAAATGCATCGCGTGCACACGCGAGAGAGCCGACGTTCCCTCCGAGCTCATGGGGGACTTACCAGCACCTCGAGTTACAAGGGTAGAACGACCATTCACTCATACAGGCGTGGATTATGCAGGTCCGATTCAAGTAAGAACCCATTCTGGCCGCGGACATAAATCACATAAGGCGTACATCGCGGTATTTATCTGTTTAACCGTTAAAGCAACGCACCTCGAATTAGTAAGCGATTATAGTTCGTCTGTTTTCTTAGCAGCTTATCACCGATTTGTGTCTCTCCGCGGGATTCCAAGCGCAATGTACTCCGATAACGAGACAACATTCCAGGGAGCGAATCGCGAATTGTTAACCGCCTTTCGTTCTGCACTCAAAACAGCCGATTTCGGTAATAGATTAGCAACAGACGGAGTCGAATGGCACTTCATGCCCCCGAACGCTCCGTACTTCGGCGGATTGTGGGAAGCCGCGGTTAAAAGCGGCAAATACCATCTAAAGCGTACTATCGGCGCACACACACTCACGTTCGAAGAAATGACTACCTTTCTATGTCGGGTCGAAGCATGCCTCAATTCGCGACCGCTTGGAACCGTCTCCGACAATATTGACGATTATCACGCGTTAACACCCGGTCATTTTTTAATCAATGCACCACTTGTAACTCCGCCCGAACCGAGTATATTAGATGTAAAAGACAATCGGCTGTCTCGCTGGCAACTTTTACAAAAGCTCACCGAAACCTTTTGAAAAGCGTGGAGCCACGATTATTTGCACACTCTGCATCAACGACCAAAATGGCAAATTAAACAAAACCTCACCAAAGTAGGTCAACTCGTGCTACTTCGTAACCCGACTCTGCCGCCAAGTCGATGGGAGATGGGACGCATCACCGCCTGCCATCCAGGGAACGACGGTCTTGTCCGCGTCGTCACCATCAAAACTGCGCAGTCCGAATTCACTCGTCCAATAACGAAGATCTGCTTTCTTCCCGTCACGATCAACGCTGAAACTGAGAAATCTACGACGTCACAGAGTAATGCGTAGTTCGTCCTCCACACATTCCGTCGATCAATTCATATCTGAATTGTACTTACCACCGGCTTCGTCCAGCGAAATGTAATCACACCAGCGAAATGTAACCACACAAGCGAAATGCAATCACACGAAATTCCGTGGTTACGGTACACACGCGTAACCTCCATGTTGCCGTAGTGGCGTCTCTTGTTGAATGAATTCATTCAACGGGGGGCGGCGTGTACGCGACTCACTCCGTCGGTAAAAGTCTCGGCGCTAGTTCGAATTATCGAAGCCTAATCACGCACCAGGTCGATAAGTGATACTCGCGCCGCTATTTCGACTCTGGATCGCTCCGGACAATTTTCGTTATTCGTGCGAAAGCCATCTAAAAGTAAGCATCTAAACCGAGCCTGTTGTGAATTGAAAAAAAACCGTTACCGTCATTAAATGAAAGATTCTCGTGTTCGTGTTCCGAGAAACCAACACCGCTTTACCACTGGAAAGTGATTTCCACATTGTGTTTGTGTCAGAAACAATTAAAGAATTGACACGCTTGTCAAGTGACTTTATTTAAATACACGAATTTAACAAGTACGTTTGCTCGCTTAATTTCGCCTCGACGTCCAAGTCCTTGCTTAGCTGTGAACCATCGGCCGATTGTGCTTCAAGTCGTGAAAGTGCATTCAACTCTTTCCAAGCCTTTACAGATGGAATACTGTCAATGATAGCTTCACATTCACTTCAAAATCTCACCAAACGCCTTGTACTATCTAAAGTAGCACAGATATTTGATCCGCTTGGCCTTTTGTCACCAGTCATTATTCGAGCGAAGGTACTCCTGCAAGAATTATGGCTGCACAATCTCCAATGGGATGACCCACTGCCATCTCAGGTCACGTCTCGATGGAACGCAGTCAGAGAAGATCTCACAAGCTTGGCCAAGCTTTCAACTCCCAGGTGGTTCAACACCTTCAGCAACTCGACAGTGGAACTCCACGGCTTCTCTGATGCTTCTCAACTTGCCATGGCAGCAGTAATTTACATTACTGTTATCTCGAAATTGCTACAACACACCTGTGAACGGATTCTCAAGTGACACTTACATGGATCAAATCTCATGCATCACGGTGGAAAGACTATGTCAGGAATCGTGTGACACAAATTCAAGAATTGACGCAAACTGCAACTTGGATGCATGTTCCTGGCACATCAAACCCTGCTGATTGCGCATCTCGAGGCTTACCTACGACACAGCTTGAACAACACGAGCTATGGTGGAGGGGACCACCATGGCTCCTGCAATCTCGTGAATCATGGCCTATACAACGCAACGCATCTAACGACACTTGCCTGCAGGAGTGTCGGCCAGGAATCTCGCACGTTTTGACGTGCCAAAAAATTGAATATCACTGGGACTTGATTCATAAATATTCTTCATTACACAAACTCTTTACTATTACCTCAGCTTGTTTCAGATTTGTCACCAAACTGAGGAAATCGACACCATCTTCAACTCGCATCTCGAACTCGCCAGCTGATTTGGAAAGGGCCAAAATCTTCTGGATCAAGGCCACACAATCAGCCTACTTCACACACGAGCTTAAGATGATGATCAACAACCAATCACTGCCATCATCGCATGTATTCAGCCGACTGACTACCTTTATCGACGATCAAGGGGTCATTCGAGTTGGAGGACGACTTTGCAACGCACCACTGACCTACCAAGGTAAACACCCAGCCATACTTCCACGTTATTCACGTCTGTCTGAATTGATTGTATATCATGTACACAAAGCAACGCTTCATGGAGGCACTCAGCTCACACTCGCCCACATCAGACAGACACACTGGATCATCGGAGGACGAGCTCCAATTAAATCGCACATTCTGCGGTGTGTTGTGTGTGCTCGGCAGAGGGGGATCCGTGCCCATCAACTGATGGGCCAACTACCTCTCTCTCGGGTTACACCCTCACACCCATTTTCTCACACCGGCGTAGACTACGCCGGTCCAATCACTCTCAAGACGTGGAAGGGGCGAGGTACGAAGACACAGAAAGGCTGGATCTGTGTCTTCGTTTGCATGACGACGTCTGCAGTTCATCTTGAAATGGTCACCAACTATACAACGGATGGATTCATTGCAACGTACCGACGGTTCGTAGCAAGAAGAGGCATTCCAAGCACGATCTTCTCCGATTGTGGGACGAACTTCATCGGAGCAAATTCAGCACTGAAATCAATGTTCGTCGAGGGCACTCAAGACAATCAATGATTGGCCAAGCTGTTCGTCAACGTCCAAACAACTTGGAATATCAACCCTTCTGCAACGCCGCACATGGGAGGAAAGTGGGAGGCGGTGGTCAAATCCGTCAAGTACCATCTAAGACGAACGGTGAGTGACACTCTGCTCACCTATGAAGAATGTACTACTCTTCTAACTCAGATTGAAGCAACGCTCAATTCACGACCACTAGGGCCTCTCACGGACGACCCCGACGATCTCTCAGTGCTGACACCAGCTCACTTCCTCATTGGAAGACCAATCTCGACACTGCCTGAACCATCTGCCGACCACGCTCAACTCTCACCGAGAGCCAGGTGGCATCTCATCCAGCAGAAGCTACAACAATTCTGGAAGCATTGGTCATCTCAACATCTCCAACGGATGCAGTCGATCTCAAAATGGCATCACCCTCCCAACAACATCAACGTTGGATCTCTGGTGCTGCTGACCGACGAATGCTTCCCACCATGCAAGTGGCCTCCTGCTCCAGTGCTCGCAGTTCACCCTGGACCAGATGGACTAACGAGGGTCGTCACGATCAAGACGGCCACCACAACTCTAATTCGGCCAATTGCGAAGTTGGCTTTGCTTCCTGTCACAGATACGAACTCATCACCATCTTCTACGAGCTGCTGATGGCGGGCGGAATGTTCGAAAATGTAATTTCTACCGCCTTCACGCGGACCGCGGCAGCACTCTGCAGCGCGACCGGCAGCCACCTTGGATGCCGGTCAGGCCGACGTATCAGCATGCGTTACGTCAGCGAGAAGAAAGCCAACGGTTCTCGCTGCGACGAAGCTGGTGGAGCGGCCATTATCGTTCTGCATCGTGTAGAGTTTATCACGTGTTAGAATTCTTAAAAGCGTATCTTGATCTTTATCTCGAACTCAAGCTCTAATATCTCGAAATACACTCGCAACTCAAGTGCCAACGGCCTACGCGACTGCGGGAGTGTGCAATCTCGTTAAATCCACGAAATTAATATAATTTCGTGATGGCCACGTGTTGCGCCAACACGTGGTTTTTCACACAGCTCGTCTCGATCTCAATTCTACGCGACGCGTCTGAATTTCTCAATAATCTCGAGCTCGAATAAACTGTTCAACGAACATTGTAAATAGTGTACAGAATTTTGTAAATATATACGTTTGTGATTGTTCATCTTCTCAAGCTCTCTTTGTCTCCGTCTCACCGCCAATCATTACAATCCGAACCGGCTCTCGATTGCACTAGAATCTCGAACTTGAATTTCAAACAATAACCGTTATTAATGTAATTTATTTTGCCTGACCCTTCCCAATAATTTAACCTATGAAAATAAAATTATATAACCGTTATTAATGTAATTTATTTTGCCTGACCCTTCCCAATAATATAATCTATAAGGACATGTCCTGACTGATTCGTCAACGCCCAACCCAAACCGCCGAATCTAGAAACATGGCGCAAATCTGGATTCAAATTCTCGAAGTTTTTATTTATGAGAGCGGGCGAAGCTGCGAATACATGAAGGCTTTGTATTCACTAACTAGCACATGTTCGCTGATCCAGGTTCGCTGTTTTCCAAGTATCTTTATACGCATGCAGGGTTTCGAGTTCTTGCAAACCTTTTAATTTCATGTCGATTGCGAGTTGTTACAAACATGTAAGATATCTGGCAGATTATTCTCAGAATGTGTCAGCTGTTTTCATTGTTAGAAATGGAGGGAGATGATTCCTCTTTGCTTTATAAACGTGTAACATCCCGCAAGAAGAAGAATAAACACAAAGTCTTATCATTACTAATTATTAAAATATTTATTTATTTTTTTCGTTTTTATACAATTGAAGTTTGTAACAGTTCGTTTTTTTTATTATTATTGTATTAACGTCATCTAGATTAATAATTATATTCATATTTAACAAATAGGAAAAGAATCTTGTATTTATTATCCGACTTCGAAAAGGAGGAGGATACTCAATTCGATGTGTATGTATTTTTTTTTTTTTTTTTTATGTATGTTCACCGATTACGCCGAGACGGATGGACCAATCGGAACGAAACCTTTTGCATCTGGTAGAGTATGTCTCCCGATTGGTCCCGTTAAAAAAACATTTTGCATTTTTTCATTCCGAACGCTTTTTATTGCAAAAAAGCGTACTATGTCATGTACGTGCGACGTACGTTCGCTTATTACTCAGAGGCGGATGGACCAATCGGAACGAAACTTTTTGCGTCCTGTAGAGTGTAACTCCTCATTGGTCCAGTAAAAAAAATATTTTGCATTTTTTCATTCCTAACGACTATTTCTTCTAAATGTATGTTCGCCGATTACTCCAAGATAGATGGACCAATCGAATAAAAAATTTTGCATCTTGTAGAGTATGTCTCCCGATTAGTCCCGTTAAAAAAACATTTTGCATTTTTTCATTGTTAACGATTTTTTTGCAAAAAACGTAAAGCTTGACTTATATTTCTCACCGATTACCGCGAGACGGATGGACCAATCGAATAAAAAATTTAGCATCTTGTAGAGTATATTTCCCGATTGGTCTCGCAAACAAATGTTTGTATTTTTTCATTTCTAACGACTTATGTCGCAAAAAACGTAATACTTCATTTATGTCTTCTGAAGTTTATGCTGCAGGGAATGTATCGATTGTGATGAAAACTTTCACATTTAGTAGGAGGTATATCCGCGATGATCTCACTTGCAAAAATTTATTGAATTTGTTAATAACTACTATTATAGCAAAAAATCTACGCCTTCGTGTTACTCTGCAAGGAATGTATCGTTCGCGATGAAACCCTTCATATTTGGTAGGAATTACAGGGCATCAGGCGACTACCTCGACAGCCTTAGAGGAATGATGCTAAGGGGATTCTAAACAACTTTTTCCTTTGCCAAATTGTTGGTTAAGGCTTGGTTTG